CCCTCTATAAGCAGCTTGTGTTCAACCAGCTATCAGGGTTGCAATTACGTTTATTACATGATTTTGTGCGTCTAAAACTGAGCAAAATTTCAACGCATGTAAGTAATTCGTTTCTGTTCCCACTTTGGCCATTTCTTTGATAAACGGCAGCACATGCTCTGGTCTAAGATATATTAAAGCAAATTTATTTTTGCCTCCTTGCTCCAATCCAGCTATAAACTCCGGCGAACCGGGTCAGCCCGACAAGTTTTGCTGGAGCATGTCAAATTTCTCAAATGTTTTACCTTTTTTGGCGTCGACTGAATAAAAGAGTTTTTTTGTGAATGTCTTTTATGGGATTGTTTTCGATGACTTTCAATATTGTCTACTAAAAATCGCAATTAAGATTGATTACATATTTAGTTTTAACCCGTGAATATTTCAATAAAACCAGTTAGTCCAATTAAAAGTCCATCAAATTTATCAGAAGGGCTGCAGAGTTTATCTGGAAGTTCAACCCTTTGGTGTCAAAGCTGGCGTGCAGCTTGCGCCCGATAAGCGTCCCTTAAATCGCTTAATTACTACAGCGAGTAGGTAATATGTTCTTCCGCTAATGACAGCCGATTTATCACTTTATATATCTCACGTACCTGCGCTTGTTTCTGCCAAGCACTAGGAAGTCAACATAGCTTCGAGGGCCTACGCAAAACGTGTGCATATGCCTCTATCTGATTGGTCAATGAAAGGCTTTATTACGCTTTCAAACTGTTACAAAAATATAAAAAAGCAGTTAACACTAAATAAAGGCGCACAGAGGTGCTTTGGTCAAAATGTATTAGGGAAGAAAAAAACGTTGCCCAATAATTTGCTTTGAATGAAACCGCATTAGAGTTTTTTTCGTCGAACAGGTCTGCAGCACACATTGCTGCTTTTAGACGTGAAAGAAAATTAATTAGCGCTTTGCGCGTCCTCCATATGGCTGTGATGAGTTGGAAAAGGGTTTTTGCGTGCAAGCAGTTGGTGTGTTTCACCTCGCCAAATGTGTATTTAAGTTGTCGGTTTCCATTACGAACGCCACAAGAAGATATCCAATCGATTTCAGTCACTTTAATTGCATGCTTTTTTCAAACACAATATCTCGGAACTGAATTGTATTGGTTTTCTCTGATAAAATATTTTGTTATAAAGTGGGGCTTGGATTTTTTATGGCAATTACGACTGATCCATAGTGTAATCGACGACTTGTTAGTCCGAATGATCGTATAGAAACCGACGTCAATTAGACACAAGATAGTGCAAAGGCGAAAGTAAATTAAGCAAGATTGAGATGGGCCAGTAGCTGGGACCGCACATGGTTCTCGATGGTATCCGATACACAGTCCCAGTCAAGTGCCCATTTAATTGGACCGGCTGTAAACATTTTCAATTGTTTTATGTGCGCTTTAGAAGAACAGAAGAAGTGGATAACCGTATATGGCTCACTTTATTTAATACTGAGCATAGGGAGTTCTGCCTGCAATTTACAGCGGTCTATAGCTTCATTACGGGCCTTCTTTGATGCTTTTTCCCCGATGAGTGACGTCTATGGCTGTTTAAGATCTTTCCGCGCATCAGGCAATTATGGCCGCTCAGAATCCATGTATCCATCCAACAAATGTAACGTCAGCTACTTTCCAAGTTGTTTTGCTGGTTTGTATCAATGTAATTTCGCTCTCTGCATTAAATTCTCTTAAAGTCGAGCTATAAAATAATTTAAATGTTTTGATTTCCGAACAATAACTTAGGACTTAATCATTATAAAAACGTCGTCACCATTTCGGGCAGTTTTCCTGCAACGGTTAATCGTAAAAGAAACGTGTAAACTGCAAATTTAATGCTGAAGCTCGAACTGTATTCACTGCTAAATTGTCAGGGATAATAATACTCCGGAATGAAGAGCATGCTCTTGTAAACCTACGCGCCATCCCAAACATGTCTTAATTATACGCCTTCAACTTTTTCAGTCTTTAATTCGGATTTGTGTGCGCCGTTTATTTAGTCGAGTGAATTTTCGATACCATCTTGAGAATGAAAGTATGTCGCTGTGCAATTACCACGTTAATGACCGTAAGTGGACGTGTCGCCACGAAATTATACTATGTAGATTGCAACAGCTTTCAGTTAATTGCATTTACGTGAGCCAGTTTGAGCCAACGTTCAGTGAAGTTGTACATGGGAAAATTGAAGTATTTTTTTAAACATGAGCGTCAGAATTTGGGTGACGAACCCAGTTTGGTTGTATTCCCAACAATTAAATGAAAATAAATACTGCTCGGTTGAGGCGAGAGACACAAATGAAAGGAAATGTTTCAGTCCCTAAACACTTCTGTTGCTAGAGCCGAGCACTAATTAGAGCGGCATACCAAAAACTTCATCGAAATTTATTGAGCGTGTCTTAGGACATATTTTACAACTTGTTTATTAACGAAATAATTTAATCGTTTTCATTTCGTTCCGTTTCCAGTGATAAGTACCTGCGCCAACAGTCAAATAAAGGAAATACTAATTCCTCCATTAGCTGAGTTTGTTTCATAAGGGAAATATGATTCTTTCTGCTGGCAGAAAGTTTCTTTGCCGGCAGTCTTCAAAAATTGAACCAGTCCAATTCAACCAGAACAAAGTCCATCGGTTTCGAGCCATTTGCTGGAGTTCGGCTGGCCACTTTGCTGTTACGCTCTCTGATTACGAGTTTTTGTCTCTAGTTTCTCTATTAAAAACAACCTTTAGGAGCCTGAACTGATAAATTGCTTGCAGCTTAAAAACCACCTTGTAAAACATTATTTGTGACAGGTACCGATGTGCGAAACGCCCAAAAACCAGAAATGTTTTCAGATCGGCCAAAAAATTGAGGCAATATGATAATTTTTCTAGGACATTTCAAGTGCTCGATTTTCTTTCTATTGAGCAATTTTCCCAGAAATTTGGGTGGTTATTGCATTTTCCGGGTGTTTAAATGCGTCATACTTCGGTATTCAACTTAAAACAGCGGCCTGGCGGATAGGTTCAAACGAAGAACAAGGTAAGAAGCCCTTTGTCAAAATACGCAAAGAATTCTTTGTTTATTTGTCGGTTCCTGTCGGCAAGGTCAAGCCAGATGTAAATATTTCACTATTTTTGGTCTGTATTGATCAGTTTACCTCCAACAAGAGACATATTGAGTGATTGTCGAGCTTTAGTCCATTGTATTCAGTTCCCACATGAAAATCCATTTAATCGGCACTCATTGATGACTAAAAGCGAATTAAAAACCCTCAGGTTTTTTTATTTGTGAGAGTGGTTTGTACATCACTTCGACTTGCCAGGAAAAACTTTGCCAAATTTTTGCTTGTTTGCAGTAAAATAACACCACATCTTCTGAGACAGTCAAATAAATTTAAACTGTGCATCTCCAGTAGTTTACAGCAGCATTTTCAAATTTCGAAACACTTTTATGTGCCTTTTTGCACAGCTTAGCACAATTGCACTCTGTGAGTTCATTTTACAAAAGTAGCCATAAAATAGGTGCAGATGTTCCACGAAAACTTTTCTACTCAAAACTAGACATACTTAGTGCTGACTTTTCCGGGAACAGCCAGCGAACTATCACGAAAGAAGAGATAAAAAATATTTTGCAGTCAGTATATTTCATAGAGGAGGAAATGGAACCCGAATCGTTTTATAGCTCAGTTACATGCGAACTTTCCTTGTTTCGCTGTTTTTTTTATTTAAGCTAGTCACGTAACCGGTTAAGAGAATTACCCCAAATTAGAAACATTTTTAATTTTACTCTATGCTATTAATAGAAGAACCGTTGGCGTCTTTTGGGCGGCCCAAATGCCAAGATTTATCGCTCGAAGTTCACCGTGCTGGTATCATTGGTCGTGTTTAATTTATGGGATTGTCTTGCTAAAAGTCCTCACTGACCATGTTTAACGTAAACAAGATCTAAACACTACTTCACAAAGGACCGTTTACCATTTGTTTCGTTTATTCTTAACCATGAACGCTGTAAAAAGTGACCTTTAAATTCCGAAAGGTTTTTTAGGAGGGGGCTCCTTGGAAGCTTTCCTTGCTTCTATATATATGTGAATTAGATATTTAGTTATGGGTGTTGAGTCCACAACAGATCAATATAGAGACGACATGAACATGATTGCCCTAACACTTTCCTCGATGGTAAAGTGGGGAGTTCCTTTCACTAACCCAGTCACAAATGCCATCGGTAGTTGCAATGCTTTCAAGAAAAAAATCTATTCGATGTCTGGCAACTTACAATTCCAAGCTGTGCGCAAGGGACAATTTATGTCCCTGAGAGAAAAAACTTTGGATGAACAAATATTTCTCTAATACTACATTATTAACTAAAAGCCCATGTTTAGAAATTGACAAAAAGCCTCCTCGGCGATAAATCATGGGGAAAGTACGTCGAAGTGTGTTCGCATTTTGTCATACAACAATAATGGAATTGTAAACCCCTAGGGAAAGTTGGCGCATTAATCATGGCCGAGTTAACTACAGTTTTGCATGAGTGTATGTGTTAGAATAATGCATGGTTTAGTGGCAAATTAAGAATGATGTAAGAGTTTTTGACGGCGACAATAAATTTTCATGTGCGGTCTAAAGCGAAAAACGGGCTGAAAACTAAAGCAAAACAATTTCAACGTCTAAAGCCGTCTTCAGTGAAGCCGGGCCAATTCCATTAAGCGGTTCATAAAAAATTAATAGTAAATTGATTCGTACCCCATTCGTCAAATGGCTCACATATTAGACTCACCCATTTATTAATGATTACCGAAAATAACCGTCGGCTTTCTTTAACAAATATCGTTCGAGAAAAACAATTTAAAAAAAGCCCCTAGTCACGGATCGATAATTAAATTTGTTGGTAAAGGAGCTGCTTCTCTGGATCGCATCTGGTTGGCCCGTTACAAAAGCGACCAACAGTTACACAGTTTACATGCTGCCTTGAAATTCCAGTGTTGTTAAATGCGACTTTTTTGCAGGATCGTCATGTCAAAGATTCTCCAGGAAGTGCCATGGATCGCGAGCCTGAAGTGGACCCGAGCCAAGATTACCAACTGCTGTTAGGTTATGAAAACAGCACCCACACAGTCTTGCGGTTCAGAAGAAGGTTGAATACTTGCGACCACCACGACATCCCCATCACTGTAAGTTATATAAATTAATTGTATGAGTTAAAGAGCTAATTTTTCAACAGATCGAAAACATTTTTAATTCTCACTTTAGATGGATATTTATTACAATGCTAAACTGTTTATGGTATCTACATAAATTTAAAGGCGCACTTTTCTAAACATTTTTAAAAAATTTAAACCTTGCTAAAAATATTTGTATGTATCATACCAGTTAATTCATGTGGATGAGTTTGTTGCCCAACTTCCACCTGCCTGATTCCTTCCACACTGAACGAAAATAATTGGCCAAGCTGGAAAATTTTAACTTTGCAATTCTATTCGCACAGAATTTAAAAATGTCGTCGAAAGAAGTGGAAACTTTTTGCCCAAGTGTAAACTCCGTCGAGTAATTTGATTAATATCGGGGTAAAAGTTTAAACGTGAAATTTGCAATTTTAAATATCTGTCCGCCGCAAAGTTGGAAACTGTGGTTGGGCCTCACTTTCACAGTTCTACGATAAAACTGGGGGAGTTGGAGCGAGAAAAGTCACCACTGAATAACTAAAGAACGATTCTGAAGAACATCTAGAGTGACTGTATTAGATAGCTACTAAACGGGCGCTCTTTAAAAATTCACTTGCACAAGGCTCAACAAAGATTGATGGAATAAGTCGATTCGAGTGAGCAGCCGTTGTCACGAGTCGCACCATTTAAATTCGATCGTATGTAAAACAGTTTAAATCTTGCAAGGCAATGGACCTGCATTTCGTTACTTTTAGGCATTCACATCACAACAATCTACATAAATACTCTCTTATTTATACGAGACTGGCGAAGCCATCAAGAAGAGAGAGATCTGCTTTATTATTTAGCACCAATGTTCCCTTTTAGACATATTTTCTGCCTTTTATTCTGAAACATTTACGGCTTTTTCTAATTTCCCTAATTCTGTTCAGTGTCACTCGACTTTAAATATGGTCATTAAAAGTGCATTAGGAGTTTTTATACCAAGAGTAAAGTTATATGAAGTTACATAATTAAAGATCGCCGAGTTGATATGGACAAGGAACACATTTAAGGCCTGTATAAATATGCAAATATGTGTTATCTATAATAACAGGCAATAAATAATGCAGTAATGGATATCTGGGCGTTCACAACCGACTCTATTTAATAATTTTCGAGTGTCGTTCAATAAATTCTGATCGACTAGAGAGTACAGAGACAGTACTGGAATGGTTTTTATAAGGTCGGTGTCCTTAGTAAAACACATAGTTTCGATCAATAGCGGATATGTTTTCAGAAATGTGCAACTGCTAATGAAATTAATAACAAGCTTCTTCTCATTTCGCATCGATATGGCTGAAATCGTAACTGGTTCAATGTGACGTGCAGACCACAAATTACGCTCGAGTCACTCTCTCGCACTGATATCCAAATCGAATAGATGAAATTGTTCAGGTAATGGCGAAATTTTACATGGTTAAACCAATTCGTTTCGTTCACTTCTTGTTCATCAGCCAGTGTTGAAAGTTGTCAACCGATCAGGCCAACAAAAGAAAACTAATTTAGACTGAAGTTTTATTTATTGCTGCCGTGCTAATTAAGAAATCATCAGAATGTTTCAACTGCATAACGAAATGGCCGTGGACAGTGAAGAAATTTAGGAAAAATAATAGTTGACCTCGGAATGGGGAAAGAATCTCGCTCGAGCTGAAATGAGAATTCTTTGCCGTCAATCTGGTGATTTATGACACTGGCCAACATTGAGTTTTGTGGCCGTGCTAATTGCTGACTGCATTTAACTATTCTGTTAATTGCTTTTACCCGAATTTGAAACGAAGAAAAAGTCAAGTGAGCAACTCATCTCATTCGACATTTAACAACATATTAATTTTATGATGAATTGCAATGCCAAGCAACTCCGCAAAAGAACACTGTGGGAACGTTGAAGAGGACGGAAACCAAGTGGTCGCTACACGACTAGGCGTCATTCTCATTTAATACGGTCCTAAGCAAATAAGCCTGTAAACCATAAAATATAATTGCCCGGAATCTGGTATTCAGTTGAGAAGCAGGAAAATGCTGTTTCAATACTTTGCAGTAAATAGAAAACCAATTATGGGGACTGGTTAGGTTACCGCAATCGGAACTCGTTGGATTGGTTAATTTGCATTTGAGGGCAAAATTAGTTCACTATGATTCATATGAGGTTTCAGCTCTATATGTATACTTGCATCAAATGTTTGTTTCTCATAAATATTGCTAGGTAATACTCAATTGACTGTGTTGGTACCACTTCACATCCGTGTTAATCACCCAATCGAATAGTTGAGTACCCAGCTAGGTACGATTTAGAGCATGTAATCAGTGCGCGATTTATGCGAAGTAAATAGTCAATGTCCGAATAAATGTTTCGGTAATTCCTATTTGTTCAGCGCGTTTATTATGTAAATTACATTGCCGGTCATATTTTATTGTCGATGTGGTGTAATCAATGTTAACTCAGTTTTAATGAGCACGTTCGAAACAAACCTAGCTAGTCACTTTTTTCCAGCTATTTATGGATTTAGGCTAAGTGTTGAATGAATCGAAACGAAAGCCATCCGGGATTTGACAACATTTCCACAGTTTCCGAAATCAGATTTCTCAATTTTTACGCTTTTACTTCGCAATTTACATAAATCCCCCGCTATTTATACGGCAGCTGAGGACAAATGACACAGGATCGAGATAGTAGTAGTAAAAGTAGATCCTTTAATTATTCGAAGGCAACATTTTGTGCATTGATTGCTTAAGATATGCGCGACTCGACTTGAAACGATGGTTGCTCTTTCCAATAGGTAGTTGCTTGTATTGCAATGTAACCAAATTAAAATACCCATCAAATTAATTTCAGAGACACCTTTGCCAAAATATAGAGCCGATATTTTGGTAAATTAAAAAAAAAATTGCCTTCTTAATTCCACCCGAACACATCGTCCTAAGCTCACCAATCCCCCTTAAAAGCATGTTTAATGCTTGTCTATTGTCTACAGCTTTTAAAGATATGATTGGCGGTTTACAAATGTTATTTGAAGAATGTTTTTCAAGTGGTAACGAAGCATCCAGATGGCGGACTTAATAAAGCACTTTTCAGCCTTTTAATCAAATGGACGTAACAGCAACCACGCCTTTAATAGCCATAAATAAATGCATAAAACACATACATGATAACGGTTCAAGGATGCAATTGGATTTCGTGGGAACAGAAATTGAAAACATTATAATAGAATTAGTTTAAAATGTAAGAACCCTTTAAATAGAACCAGGAGCATCAAGTAACAGTGTTGTTTCTCAGTTAAAGAAGTCAGACATACAACGTTCAAACTGCATTATTATCTTTAATCCTGCTTAACTACTTCAGGCCTCCAAAACCACTTCGTTAGCATAGTAGAAGAAAGCTTAAAGCGGCATTTCCAGGCTCTAATATAAATTTAGGTACAGTTTATCAGTGAAATCGTTCCTTGTCAAGCGAATTCCATAAAATCCATATGCTGTGGCAGTTAAACCCCTCTATTAAAGTGTCGGGTTTTCGGTAAAATCGAATGTTTCCTTAATCCTGATTTCCTTTCGTTATCTACAAGTCATGCCGGCAAATAATTCGCTCAGACATAAGTTTTCGGGTCTGTCAGACTGATGTCGAACTGCCGTTCTTCCACCGGCGTTGAACCTAATTTTAACTCGACCAGAAATACTTTTCTAAGTAGACCCTTTTCCATATTTTGCTAATAGCGTTGCCTATTTCTCAAAGTTGATCTGACAGCCCTCAACTTGGCACATTTATCTTTCGCTGGTAATCTTGTCAGTGTTTAATGATGAATTATGATGTAAAGTTTTCGGGAAAGGTTATTAGGTAAAGCAAAACTGGCGTTCCACTTTTGAAAAGGCAGAACTTGAGGCGAGTTTTTGTACGAGCTAAGGCACTAAGCTAATTCATGATGAGTATGGGAAAAGTCGCTCTTCTACCAATCAACTACAATTCTCCACAGTAGGTTCTGTCGTACAAGGAAAATGCTAGAGTGATCGCATAAGATCACGTTTTGATAGGATCGATCACTGCTCAACTGATTTACCAGTAAAATTGAAAGATAATGTTGTTTTCAGAACGACACAATGCGCATTGTGTGGGCTTTCCACCGAGATGAACCCATAGGTGGTGCAGTTGGTCCAAAGTCGCTACCAAGACATGATTTGGCCAACCGAGGTACTCAGTCGCTGTATCTGGTACAACGTGCAGACCAAGATGTTCCCAGTGCAGAAGAAATCGCTCGAGTTTGGGAGTTGAAAAATCCTGCCGTCGAACCACCTTCCATCCCGGGGGATACCCTCTATTGGTGCAAGGTTTTCAAGATTCCAGCCAGTATTAATAAAAAGCATCATTTAATCAGGGTAAGTAGTTAAAGAGAGCCGGATGATTCGAATTTTCTTTTTAATCTCTTAGATTGATGGGAGTCATAATTTCAAATTTGCATTATTGCCAGTCTATGCTTTCGGTAAACCCATTGTTGTGAAATTAGGTCTCGAAAGGTGCAAAACCAAAATTGCCGGCCGATCCTTCTGGTATAATTTCTCCAGAAATTTGCATAATTGCTGCCTTTTAATGCACCGATGCTGTAATTACCTTTAATCAAATCCTGACTGTTTTTTAAGCGTCCGCTTCCCGTCAGAGCATAATAAAATAATGCGCCGTACGAAAAACAAAATCATTTAATTTTCATCAGCACAGCTAGGCCACCAGGTTCCCCAGAGTTTTTGTTTTAACATCGAATTCAAGCTTAATTAAACAAGGCATTACGCGCGGTTAGTAGATATCGGATCATGGAGCACTTGAGGAATATCATAAATTACTTTGTGCTGATTCAAGCGGTTGGGATGTATCCTGAAAAAATGCTATTAACTATGGTAATGGATCTTCATTAGGTTTTAAGTTCCGAAGATCGGTGGCTGCAGGTTGAAATCGCAAATGATCCTTCTAGCTCCAAGAGTTCTTCTTCTCAGTTCTTCAGAGTTCCAATCGAACTTTGATGGGTGACAGTTTTTGTTAACGTGTGTGTGCACAGTAATCGTTGATTTGTGTTCGGATTATTTCCCCCATTTTCTAAGAATTTGGATGCTTCATTGTAAAATATTCCATTTATGTATTAATTAAATGCGCTACAGCGAGTTCAGGGTAGATCTAGAAGTAGAAAATATTTTCTTCGATTTGTAACTTAAGGACAAACTGAAGGTTTTTCTTGATCAGTAACTGAAATCAAACACGCGCATTTAGCATTTAGCATAGCAAATATTTCATTTTCGGTGCTCCATTTCCACCCTAAACACATTTTAGATTTATATAATTGTGAGGGTCTTTGTTATTTAAATGCTGAATGATTTTTCATATTGATTTTTCTTTGACTGATATGACAGCGTCGCTCCCTTCCTGCAGCCTAGAAGGGTCTTATTTTCACTTCTGAAGAAAAACGTCTTTTTGGGGGATTGTTCGTGGAAAAGCTACAAAGGAATGAATTATTTTTTCCGCTGCGATTCAACGAACAGCATATTTACCTTTGACAAATTTGAATCGCTGAATTTCTGTCGTAAGTTGGTTTCAGAAGTCTCAAACGATGCCGCAAATGCCAAATTCAAATGCTAATCGCGTTTCAATTTCGTTCCAATCATTTCGGGTTTCAGTCGAACTACTGATTAGCTTTAATCTAGGTAAACTCCCAAAATACAGCCTGCTGAAAAAAGAACGGATTTGTCTGTTTATCAAATGCAGTGTATTTCCTGAATTAAAACACATATTGTTTGGTTAATGCTTTTTCCTGGTACCAATAAAAGCTGCACTGGAGGAAATTATTTATAATTTTAGGTACAGTCTAGTTTTGAATTTAATATTGTTAATTAGGGAAACACAGAATCTCTATAGTTACGCTGGATCGGCATGAATAATGTGCAGAAAATGCTAATTTATTTTGTAAAATTATTAATACGTTGCACGTTCGGTCCCAATTACTTTTGGGTTAATCGCGAAATTCATGCCATGTCAATAACTGGCAATATAATGCAACTGAATTGTGCTGAATGATCCTATTTGAGTGAAAAGTATTTAAAATGTTTAAGTAAGTACAATATCATTTTGTTTGTGTGGCATTAGTGTTAAGTCATGTTAAACTTTTGGAATATATCCATGTATTCATCATTGAAAAGTGTTTCTAATACTTTATTTCGAAGCTTCGAACATTGCTTGTCTCGTCGGCAATCTTCTTGCTTTTATTTAAAATTCCCTGGGTTATGGTCGATTTATTTGGAAGAATCATGTCCGAGTGCTTGCTGGAAAAGCAATTTTATATTCAATCAAGGTATTGTCCTCTAGGAAACGACGTGCCGAAAGTCCTTTCGGAACGATCGATTCCCAAGAGTCCCAGCCCGGAGACAATGCATAAAACTTTCCAGAAGGAAACTTTCTAAGGATGGATGCAATTTTATTATTTTATGGCATTTATCCTGAAGAGTCGGTGAGAATCGGCATAATTTTGAATGATTTTTTAAATATACATTCACATAAGTAATACCCTTTACCTACCTTTATGTACACTTGGAAAAATTTACGACTTTGTGCATTCTTGTCAGTTTAGCTCACACTGCGCTGGGTACCCTAAATATTAGTTTGAAATACTTCGGTTGGGGACATTAAAAATGAAAAAATCGGAGTGAAAAATTGTGTTGAGAGTTTTTGATGCTTTGTCGAATTGCAGACATTTTTGCGAGTATGTAGTTAGTAAGCGACCTACCCAGGATGCCTTTCACAAATATCTTAAAACATTTATAGATTCTTAAAGAGGCGACTAATTAACTGCTCCTGTTGTTATAGTACGAGCCACTCCGAAGCGTGACTGGAATCAATGGACTTCAGCACGTAGTTCTTTATGAGTGCCAGGATAACCCCTTGGTCGAAAACCTGGTAGGTACCCCGGGCAGACAGTGTCATGAGGCACACTCGCAACCCTTCATGTGCAACACTGTGGTGGCCAGTTGGGCCAAAGGGTCTGAAGGCTTCAGCTTTCCACCTGAAGCCGGCTATCCGCTGGACTCCACCAACAAGTAAGCCAACCGACTAATGTGGCAAGCTTTCTCAGAATATTAATGGTGGTTTTTTTGCTTCAGGTATTACCTAATGGAGACTCATTACACAGTGCCAATGGATGGTAACGTGGGTTCAATTGATGGATCAGGTCTTCGCCTGTTCTACACGTCAGAGTTGCGTAGACACGACGCTGGAGTAATTTCCATAGGCATGGATCCGAACTGGCGACACATCATTCCTCCAGGCCAGAACAGAGTAGTGTCTGCCGGGCACTGCGTTTCGGACTGCACTCGTCAGGCTTTTCCCCATTCGGGTATAAACGTGTTTGCAGTGGTGATGAAGACGCACAAAATCGGCAAACAAGTGGCCCTCAAGCATGTACGCGGCAGTGTTGAACTGCCACCCGTGGCTAGTGATGATAATGTGGATGCGGACTATCAGGAGTACCGGAAACTCGAAGTTCCTGTGCGGATTCTACCTGGTGATCATTTAGTAACGGAGTGCACGTATAACAGTTCGGGGCGTAGTGCCATTACTCTTGGCGGGTTGACCAATCGTGAAGAAACGTGTTTGGTGATGGGACTGTATTATCCAAGACAAAAAATGTTAGCAGCTTGCCACAGTCTTCCCAGCTTGCCTACAGTCTTGCATTCGCTTGGCATCCAGGAACTTAGTCCGTAAGTAACGTGCGAAAGCATTTCCATCTTTTCAAAGCTGCGACTAAAGCACACGAAGGCCTTGTATTTGCCCGTCATTAATGGCAAGTCGTATCCTGCGAATTAGGTTCTGTTAGCTTACTACTTGTAATTTCAATATTAGCAGGAACTGAATATGTGCCGCCGTCATGCTCTCAGAAGTTTAAACAACGCGAGCTTAATATAGTGGAAATTCGAGAGATGTGTGTTGGTTGGAATGTTTCAGTATTGTCTTCTTATCCATGTTTGAACAGAATTAACGAACAATTTGTATATTGTGGTAGATGCAGACACGAGGGCGGATCCAAGGGGAGGGGGGCATGGGGGTCATGACCCTCAAAACGAATTCTGTGGCTCGAATAGTTCTTGAGAAACTTCGAAAAAAGCAGCGTCATGTTCAAGTGGATTTTGCAACTCAAAAAAAAAACACGCAAATCTGAA